GTAAACTATTAGTCTCCTACTATATATGCATATTTACTATGAGTCTACACTGAATGACTCAGACTAATTTCAAACTAATTACTTCCCTAAATTCTCCTAAACTTGGCAACATCCCCAGACTCAGCATCATTTTTTTATGCTGGGAAACAACTTATTAATTATAGGATGGGGAATGTGTTTTGCTACTTTGCAGTCATCACAAATTAATATAGAAGGTACAGATATAAACAGGAGGGGTGGCTGTAAAACCTACCTCTTCCTGAACTGCATACTTACATCAAGGCTTTGAACAAAATCATACAGTTTTTTGAGCCGGAACAAGCAATATTCTGACAAACTGTTAGTTGAGAGGATTTGTTTTATAATACAATAATACAAATTCTAGATTCTAATGTAGGTTTGAAGCAAGTAAAAAAAATAATAAATATGTGAGATTTTTTTTGATGGCTTCAGCTGTAAAAGAAACAAAACCGTGTCACTTGCAAATTACTTCACATGCTACTAATTGGCAAGATTATGCTACTAGTTAAAGACATGCCAAGTTCTATTTTTACATTGCATCTATCAACCACGAGCTTGAGTCATTACCATAGGAACAAGAAGAATCTGTTCTATGTCCAAAGAGCTGCTGAAATTTTGTATGAAAATATATCCTATGAAAGAACACACCTCACTGAGAATATATTAGAAACATTATCAATATTAGTGGTGTCTTCACTTACCATTAAAAGACCATTAAACAACCAGGATATTTATAAAATGTCCACATGCAATTAACAATTAATTAATGCACAATATGTAAAACAGTATAATACTATTATTTTATTCAACATACCATACCATACATGGTTTTTTCATGACTATTTACATTGTAGATTCTCACTGAAGGCATCAAAACTATGAATGAACACATATGGAATTATGTAGTAAACAAAAAAGTGAGAAATAACTAAATAATTTTTGATTCCTCAAAGTAGCCACCCTTTGCTTTGTTGACAGCGCTGCAAACCCTTGGCCTTCTCTCAATGAGCTTCATGATGTAGTCACCTGAAATGGTTTTCACTTCACAGGGATTTATTCAAAATTGAAGGCACATTGAACCAGCATGGCTACCACAGCATCATGCCATCCCATCCGGTTTGCATTTAGTTCATTTATTTTTCAACAGGACAATGACCCCAAACACACCTCCAGGCTGTCTAAGGGCTGTTTGACCAAGAAGGAGAGTGATGGAGTGCTGCACCAGATGATCTGGCTTCCACAGTCACCTGACCTAAACCCAATCGAGATGGTTTGGGATGAGATGGACCGCAGAGTAAAGGCAAAAGGGCCAACAAGTGCTCAGCATCTCGGGAAACTCCTTCAAGACTGTTGGAAAACCATTTCAGGTGACTACCTCATGAAGCTCATCGAGAGAATGCCAAGAGTGTGCAAAGCAGTAATCAAAGCAAAGGGTAGCTATTTTGAAGAATCTAAAATATAAAACATGTTTTGAGTTATTTCACACTTTTTTGTTTACTACATAATTCCGTATGTGTTCATTCATAGTTTTGATGCCTTCAGTGAGAATCTACAATGTAAATAGTCATGAAAATAAAGAAAAAACATTAAATGAGAAGGTGTGTCCAAACTTTTGACTGGTAGTGTATATAATAAAAAAATGTATTCCTCTTCCTAAGTATTTTTTCAAGGGGTAAATTGTAAAGCTCCATTTAAAAATAGTTTTTAATCAAATTACTTTCTGTAATGTGTGCATGGATTTAGTACTGGAAATCAACAAACCAGTCTGCAGCTCTGTACAGCTTTCTGCTCAGTCTGTTATAAAACATGGGTCACCAAAAAATGACCATATCTGCGCAGTCCAAAACAGCTAAAAGTGAAGAGGGTTGAAACACTACTGTATCAAGCCAAACAAATCCAAATAACTTTTTTCAGTAGATGGAGGACCCAAACAGGATCTAAAACACAAATGAATATATTTGAACTTGCACTTGACAGATGGTAAGAAAGAAAGCTCCAATTTCCCCACACAGGTGAAGGTTGGCTTTCGTATGCATTGCAACTATCAAAATTGGAAGCTGTTTCATCTCAGGGTGATTTTATGCTGGATTCATAGATATTACTGAACACATTGGTAAGGAGGCAATTCACTCATTATTTCTACAGATGGTACTGCAAGCTGAAAGGAAAACACATTATCACACAGACAAACACATTAAACCAAGAAGCACAAAGCTATAAAGCAAAAAATGAGGGTCTGGCAGACCACAGTAAGTGCTGAGATTTTACAATAAAAGTGACAGGAAACAATTTTCAGACCATGATTGCAGAAACACCCTTGTACAGTGTCAGTAAAAAGTAAAACTATTTTGTGCAGCTGAAGATGAAAAAACATTGAATTAGAGGCATATAGCGCATTAGAAATGCCATTAAAATCCCCAGAATGCACTTAATGCGATCTTTAGAGACAATGTAGAAAACCATAATAAATAAATTTTTAAGGATTTATTAAGCCAAACACAAGAATATTAAAGCGGCTACCAGGAACTTTCATGTGTGTTGATTCTGGTGGCCCCTGTGGACAAAAGCAGTAGTGTTTCCAGTGCCTTGTTTCTCTGATTTTGAGGGGAATATAACTGAATCCAACCCGATGGCAGGCATTAAGAATAACTATATAGAAATAGCCAGTCTTCTTGCTGATAGTCTTGTTTGTTTATGTAGGTCCTGTAGAGGCATCAGTATTAAATTGAGATGGTTTCATAATCAGTTAAAAACTCCCTGTAGTATGTTTAACCATATTTGAAAGTCCTACTTGCTTTGATTATCAATTACCAGGGTAATTTCTCCAGTTTTCACACTGTAGTGACCAAGAAGAGAAAATGTAAAAATATGCAAAGCAGAATACAATTAACTTAGGTTTTTAAATGTGGCCCATATCAGATTCCAATCTGAACAGGTCCTGACGTGACGTAAAAGTCTTCTGATTTGACTGTTTACACCCAGGTAACATCGTAAATGAGAGCTGAATCTGATTTGGACCACAAATGAAAGTGGCCCAACTCAGAAATGAAAAGCTCAGATTCCAAGTGATTTGTGCTATTCACACTGTGACGAAAAATCTGATCTGAGTCACATATGAGCAAAAAAAATGTGTGATATAGCAATTAAGTAATCTTTCATCTAAAAGTTAATAGAAATACTTGAATTTTTTCAAGGCAAAAGGACAATGGCCAATTATTACATTTCATAAAATGAGACGTCACTTATCTATCAGTGTCAAAATCAAATCTCAGTTTTTCTTCAACATGCTGTGCTGAGCATTCTTGCACATTCAGCTACATAGTCTTAGTGCAGTATTATGCAGTGATAATGAGATATTAGGCCATATCTCATTAAGATAAAGGGAGAAAAATGTCTCTTGGGGTCAGGGGGTAATCCCTGGTTATTGTGTCCTGGCCATAGTGGCAGGCAATTAAGCAAGCGAAAATGAGGACCTAAGGAGCACTGTGAGCTTATTAAAATCCTGAGGTTGCTAATGGGGAGAAATATGGTAGTATGGAAGGAACAGGCTATCACAGAATAGCAGCCATTAGAGTATGAAATAGCCTTTTGTGTGATATTCTTTCAGGGTTGGTTTGCTCCGGTGAAATGTTTGCAGGTTGTTTTTCATCTTGAGCCCTTAAGTGAAAAACAATAGGAAGAGTAATCTTAAAGCAGGATTTAAGAAAATACTGTACGGTATAAACTTTCAGGCTTCTAACTTTAGGTATTTACTCTTCCATCAAAAAAACAGATGCCAACTTTGCAATGAAGCCAATTCCCTTGCACACACAAATACGAAGCAAACAAGTACAAGTGCCTCATGCCAGAACTGAACCACCAACTTGATGCTTGCCAGCACCATCCTCCAACCAATTATGATGTATTATGAGAGGTACTTGGCCATCAGAGAAGCCAGCAGATCTGCCCTGTCTCGATGAGTTGCAACATTTCCAGGCACACACAGGCCATTGATTAGAGGGGCTCAGCTCACAGCCTGCAGTCTATCAGCGCTCAGGGACCGGTAATCAATTCTCTAATGCCGTTTGAGCCTATTCACTGCAGCTATGATCCACTCCTCACTGTGCAGATACAGATACAAACACCCACGTACACGGACATGTGTGGATGTAGCCCTATCCGCGAACCAAGCACACACCAAATATAACCCAGATGGCCATCGTAAAAGCAAGGAAGGACAACTCCCAAATATTAACTTACCAAGTGTAGCAATGATAGGACACTGTCATCTAATGGCATTATCAAAATGAGTGCAGCTTTCCTGAGGCAGACTCTGGTTCCTGATTACCTAGCAGTGGTGGACCCTGTTCGTGGCCAAATCTGATCAGCATAGTACCAGACACAAGCATGGCCGGTCAGGAACTCAGCCCCTTATCTCTACCGGCAGGCTGCTGGTTCTTTATGGGCAATGATGCCCTCCTAGGAATTAATCTGATTGGACTCTAGTGGAAGATAATGTTCTAGTAAAACTGCTGAAAGGAAAGGTGGAGCCCTAACTTCCTCTCTGTGCTAGTTGGATCAGATGGAATTACGTTGTGAGACCTTGTACAGACGATGGTGAGGGAGCGAATGTAAGCTTCAGGCAGGCTATCTGCTGAAATTGACTGACCAGTAACAACTTGGAATATTGTCTCTAAACTTTATAAACAAGATAATTTCGACAGTGAAACAAATTTGTGCAATAAGAACCATACAGCCTCAGTCCTAAATTACAACAATTGGTGTAATTTTATTGTTGCTTCTAATGTAACTTTAAAGGCCAAATACTACAATCCAGATTGTATTATCTGTGGACTCAATACTCAAAGGCTGATATAAAACCTACCGGTAAAAATTTTAATCATAAAATATATCTATGGGCCATCATGGCTTTGAAGTTAACACAAAGCTCCAAACATGTCACAGCTGCCATGAAAAATGCTGAAGAATATAACACTTACTTTGGTGTCTGTGTGTCATCCAAGCGGTTTCCCAGCTGGAATTCGTGGGATTTGCTGCGGTGCAGTGCGGTGAAGCCCGGCAGCAGATGGATGAGTTTGCGGCTCGGCGGAGGTGGGGTTCCTGGGGCCTTCACTTTGTTCCTTCGCCGCATTGGAGGAGTGCCAGGCGGGGTCATGGTGTTGACCACCAAGGGAGTCCGAGGAGGTGTGTGGCCAAAATGCCTCTGGCGGGGTGACGGGGGCAAGGAGCGATGACCAGAGTCCAAGGGAGGGAAAAGCCCTAAGGCTGGGCTGTCAACGGTCAATCGATCAGCATATAAAGGGGGGGCCAGGGCCTGGGGGCTGTGGCACATGTGCTGGTTGTACTTGGACTGGACTTTGGGGCTTTGGGAGAGCTGGAACCGGATCCACTGACTGGCCTCTGGCTGGCATACCGGAGTGTTTTCTTTGCCTGATTCAGAGGTGGGCCACTGGATGGACCAGTCCTGCTTTGCCTGGCTCCCTATTAGAGGGAGACAGAGATAGAAATAAATGCCAAAAAAATACCTGTTTGTGACACACTGCATAAAATGCATGTTAAAGGGTTCATACTAATTACAAAAGGACATATTTTCTCACTTATCCCTGGTGGTGTCTAGCAGTGAAAATAGTTTTGGTTTAATTTGTCCAGGTTTTAGATATCTGTTTGTAAGCTTTCTGCCTTGAAACCTACACAGTGGGAGAAATTAAACAGCAGTATCTATAGAAACAATGTCTCAGTTAATGTGAATAATTCATAGACTTATTCCGTATGAAAACTGTTGAAACAGTTCTTATGTAAAAAGGTGTCGCTGTTAACATAATTTTTCTGCCCTGAGAGCACCTCCATTGTATAAATATCAGGCACAGATATATCAAAACATGAGCAAATGAAACGAAAACCATCTGCATGTCTAGATGCAAGCTTGGGGTGAGAGAAAAAATATGTTTGTTTTTTTCATAATTTGGGTGAATGTTTTTGTGTAACAAGGCGTATCAAGGTAAAATAAATTGGTTTATGTCATGCACTTATTACTAAAACATCCATTAGCTCTACTTCTTCATTACAGAAGTAAGAGTAACCCTGGCAGCGGGCGGACATTTACGCCCAGCAAATGTGTTCAATTTGGGTAATGAAGAATTAACTTTGCTGTTATCTGATGTGAAAGTATTAGTAGTGCAGTGGTGTTCAAATATGCTGATGTGGAGCAGATTAAGCATGAATGGATGGATCAAAAGAGTTAGAAAATGGTGTGCGCCAAAACAGAACCGGGCAAAGCTGCATGAGTCATAACACAAGCTGACTTCTACCGAAACTAAACTTTCTGTTGAATGAGAAACAAAGAAAGGCACAGAGGCAAAATAGTTGAAGGTGAGCAGCCACAATGAGTGTTTTTGAGCTCAGATGACAATACTTTACCTCCGTTACTGTGCAATTTATCCTCCTCAAGTTGTTCTTCAGAAAGAAACAAAAAAACAGAATGTGTTTATTGATCTAGCAGAGTCACCACTGAAATAGTCTGCAATACTCTACTTGTCTTTTCATCTGCAGTTATGCATAGCCAAAAGGTTGTTCAGCAAAACAAAAGATTATGTTGGGAGAATTGATCCTGGGTACATTTCAGCAGATGCAGTATCTCATGCATGACTGAGTCGGAGCAAAAGTGACCTCACAGTCTTCAAAATCTGCTATTGATTTTTTTGTTTTGTGTCATTATTTTGCTTCCCTGTGACATTGTCTCTAAGGAACTATAAGCATCACACAAACATCAAACACAATATCAACACCAACAACATCAAATGAACCACGGAAAATATCTCCCATAAAAGGTCCCGGTGGAATTGCAAAACTTGATGGAAAAAAGCCTGCAGCTTTTCCTATTCTGTAATGTTATGAAGAACAGGCCGCAAGGAACGATGAGTTGTGACAAGAGACAGCTGCAAAAGCACAAGGGACATAATATACAGAATATCCGAGGCTCTCATTTTCTTTTTTTAAATATATTTTAGGGATCTCCTTAAATTTCTTGTCAAAGACCCCAAAAAAGACATATAGTGTTGAGACTCAAAAGGTTATGTTTTGAGCTACTGAAACACAGCAAACATTTTATTTAAACAGAAACAATGGTGCTGTCAATGTCCTGTGGCTGGGAAGTTGTAATATTTTTAATACAGCAACACATTAATATAGTTTTGTGTGTCTGTTTTGAGTAAATCTCAGCCTTAAAAGTAATGGTTTAAACTAATGTTTAAATGAGCCACATGGTGCACTGATAGCACATTTTGATTGGGTTTAAGTGGGAGGACTTTGGGTTGGTTCCTTGGTTGCTGAACTGGAAGTCCAGTTCATTCCAGTTGCAGTACTTAAGCATTAAACTCTCCTGGTTGAATAATAAGTAGGCTACAAAGGATGAGCACCAGTTTGTTTGTTTTTAATAAAGTAAAAGGGCTATGGCTACGGTATATACACAAAAGTTCCAATCATCAAGCTGAGAGCATAACTTATGTATTATTAATGTACTTAAGTTAAGTCAGGTAGCCTAACCCCCTTTTCCTAATTCTAACCAAGTAGTTTTTGTGCCTAAACTTAACCAATTTGCAACTATTTCACCACCCAGTGTAACCGGACGTTACATATTTATTGTTGCTAATTTTGACCACAGAGCCCTGACCTCTACAGGGCCATATTTTGCAGCGATTGGCCAAGTTGAATTATTTGATGAGTTGGGTGTGAGAATGTTGTGGAATGTAAATTCTACAAGCCTCAGTCATGTTGAGGTGAATGAAATAAGTTATGTTTTGTTCAGAACGGAAGGCTCCACCTCTTGAGAACAGGGCTCAACAAGGACCATTGGACCCACAGCTGTTTTTTGTCCCCATGTCAATGAGCTTGTTGTAGACCTCAAGTGCCTAATTAAAACTAATTTAACTTGAGCTGGTTTATAGTAATTCAAATGTTATCAACCAGTCACGCTAATATAAGCCCTCAAATATAATTTGAAACCTATTAACATTAATGTTTCATGAAAGGTGTTTTAAAGATGTAAAACTCTTACCCAAGTTTTGACTCACCAAAGTGACATGGGTTAACTTTGTTTCTCCCGTGTGACACGTTTTTACAGGTACAGGTTAAGTTGGGAAAGTAAAACAGCTACGTCACAATCAATTGGAGATTGATTGGGTGTTTCATTTCAGGTGACAGGAGAGGAGAGCAGCACTTCCAATTATATTATCTGGTGTTCATTCAGCCAAGGGCATTGGAAGATTTCTGCTGGTCGAATAATAAAAGTAATAACATTTACATTTAGGCTATCACTTGGTGGGATATCTTCCAATTTCTGGAAAGCTTTGCAGGGCAGTTAGGAAAACAAAATTAGTTCAGAAATAACATTACATTTTGTGATTGTAGCAGAAAAAACAAATAATTTAAAGTGTTTAATGGTATTCAAAACAAGCACAATGATAAATTAATTTTGGCTGCTGTACTAATTAATACCTGTCAATTTTACTTCAGCTCACAAACTTTCATCATAAAGTTGTGGTAGGCAGTTTGAACATACATAATGCAAAACCTTCCACCTCTCTCTCTCTCTCTGCTTCCTCATATTACTTCACCTTATGGAGCACTCCAGAAAGATTTTGTGGAGCAGGAAAGCAGTAAGAAAAGTGTCTAATAGTGAGGCAGACATCAAACTGTTTCCATGTTTGTCATCTTGGATTATGGACATTATTGCTTCTTCCATTGCACTGATATGTGGGATATCTGATAAATTGCCTCAATCTCCGACTAAACTATTGGCAGTCGAGTCGCATTATGGGTAATGTCAGCATCAGGTTTTGACAAGGAAGGATAATGCAAGGAATAACAGGCTCTCTTGTTCTGCTGCATTGATTTTGATTAGTTTTTTCCTGTTCATGAGTCTAGGAATGTTATAAACGTACAAAACTAAAATACTAATTTAAACTATCCAGGACAATCCCACATAAAAATATAAACTTTCAAATAGGTGTTTACAGTGGTAAAAAATACTTTCAGAATCAGCTGCTACTCTTACTACTAGTTTTACTCTGTGACACATCCACCAAACAGAAGCAAACATATGTCAAAGAATGAAAAAATATAATAATTTAACTGAATTCAATTTTATTTGTATAGCACCAATTCATAACAAAAGTTATCTCAGTACTGTTTTTTAAATAGAGCAGGTCTAGACCGTACTCCTTGAGAAATTATTTACAGAGACCCAACCGTTCCCACCATGAGCAAGCACTTTGCAATAGTAGTAACATAACATCAGAATAAACCAAATTATGTCACTGCTTCTGTTCCTGCTCTCTGGCTGAAGTTTTTTTAGTCAGTGAACCTTTTGTTGTTATTGGTTGTCATGGAAACCAGCTGCTTTTCAGCACATGGTTATCCATCTCCTGCACAGAATATGTTTCTGTGAAAAGTACAAAACATGAAATGGAAAACTTGAGAGCTTACTTTTGTAGACATGCAGTCGTATTAATAGCATTAGCTATAAGGATTGATCCGTCTTGCAAAAGTACACCCTGACAGCTGTGATTCGCATCTATAGATATTAGTCAATAGGGTCTCTTGAGTCCCCGCCGCTCTGTCCTCAGTGTCACTGCCTGAGGACCACACTCACTCTTGTGTCTGAATCCACATTAAGAGGCCCACATCTCAACCCTAAAAACCTCCTTCAGAAGCACATCAAGATGCAGAAAGGACGAGTGGGCCCAAAAGAGTGCTTATCCACAAATATAGGCAAAGATGCGGGGGGGGTGTTTAATCAAGCCTCCTTTATTAACAGGAATAAAACAGGCCACTCAGAAATGTAAAAGTTCAGCTTGACCCCACATGAATGACTAAAACTAATCAACGGCCACTGAAGAGTTCACACCACTAAGGCTGAGATTACAGATGGGAGGCAGAAAGCTGATTGCTTTTGGGCAGTCGTTTGATACCTGACACATGAGCCAATTTGTACTAAGCATTTCAAAGTTTGTACCTTCTAAAATCGAACAAGATAGTTCTTGGAAATGTTGACCAATCACCTCTTATTTAAATCATGAGCTTCCCTTTGTTAATTATATTCTTGCATGAGGCTGCCTTACTTTGGAAATGCTTTTGACAGCGCTCATCAAGCTGATACCCAAGTGAAATTTCTCTGCAAGAGAAGCAATGAACTTGAATCACACTCATGAAACTGTTGCTTCAAGTAATGAATCAATTCATCAAGCACACTAGTATCTTAGCAACTGCTTAAGCAAAATAGTAACAGGACTTGATGTATGAATTTCTTGTTTCACATGATCTCACCTAAGCAAAAGCCTCAGGCACACACAAAAAAGCTTGCCACTAAATTAGATGAAGAACACAGACTGAGCATAACCCCTTTGAGAACTGTGATTTCAAGTTAATTTGGGTGGCTTGTGCTTGTTAGCGAGTAAGTTTTAGAAGTTGCTTTTCATGGAGAGATTTGATAGGAGAAAAAAAATGTGTCTTGCAATTTTGCAAAACTTCTAAGGGCTAAACTCAACAGGGCAGCAACTTGCTGATATCAAGGCTCGACTATGCTCACGCAATTTCTGTGAAAGCATTCCCGCTCTACTCCTGAAATTCAAATCACAATAATGCTTGCCTTTTACTTTATTGCTGCTTTTCTTTGCGATGCATTAAGTAATATTCAAACTGTATCATCCAACAAAATGATCATAATACATTTGCAAGCTCTTTTCATTTTCAACTTTACAAAAAAAATGATGATGGTGCTAAGAGCAAGCAATCAATGTCACATTCTCCAGCCAAATCATAAAATGGTATAATTGTGCATCATGAAATATTACCTCTCAACTAGACATGTCTGCTGGACGTCTGCTCTAATTAGCTGGATTACTGCCTCTAATATGAAAATGTGACATGAAAAGAAGGATTGGTGAACCTGAAGGTCGAGCCGGATGTAAAACTCTCAACAAAGAGACATGAAAAATAACTTCAGAGATCTACTGTCCAGTGAGATTTCAATTTGTGTCTTCACCTGTACAGAAAACTAGATTAGAAGATTAAAACCACGCTCATGTTTGTGCTAGAGGTGGAAATCATAAATCATGTTTCTGATTCGTTCAGTTCAGTTCAAAGCTTCGTAGTCACAGACCAGGTAGTTCATTTACTTTTTTCCAAAACGAAGCTGTTGCATCACTGTTCAATTGTACTTCAATATGTACGTCAGTGATGAACGCATCACCATTCATGCAGCCAGACAGTCAATTTCAGTTTAAGCCGTTGCATTCAAAAAAAGCATATACAGGCATTTCACATAAGGTTAAGGACTCAAATTACGATTGTTTCTGTGGCTTTTGTTGTCTTTTAATAGGCTTTTGAGCTGACGTTGCTCTCAGTCACCAGGGAGGGGAGCTTTACTGTTAAATGTCACTGTTATGTTAACTGAC